GTGCGTGCGTGCGTGCGCGTGCGCCGGGGGGCGGGGAAGCGTGGCACATGGAAGAGTGGACAAGGAATTCTGACGTTGAACCTGAGGACCATCACGTAGATATGACCCTCCCACCCTCATGCCTCCTGCAGGAAACCCCGTTCCTACTCCCTAACCCCCGCCATCCCTTCCCCATCCCCTCTCCTTGTTTCTTCTTCTCATATTGTGCTTTCTACTTGTATTATTTCTCCTTATGCTCCTCTTGTTTTTTCTTATCCTCTTCCTCCTCCTCTGCCTCCTCCTCTTCTTACTTTCAGATTTGACCCTCGTAAGTTAGTAAAGGGAGGTTGATAGGAGGTGAATGTGCCATTAGTTCACTCTTTGCTGTGGTTTCATCGCCTCACAGGGACTAAGAGTGAAAGGACAGAATCCTCGCTGGAGAGTCCCACCAAATTTCCCACAAGACAAAATCCCATCAAATTATAAAGACAAAATCACAGGAATTTTTCAAGACTAAAATACCATAAATTTTCCAAGACAAAATCCCACTACAATTTCCCAAAAGACATAAACCCACTAAATTAGTCTACAAAAGCCAATCTTCAAACACTGGCAAGATATTTAACTGTTCCTTTGATGAGGTTACATTGTCTCTAGAACATAATTGACCGACGCCAAAAGTTATTCAGGCAGGTTCATATTACATCTCAAAACGAAAATTTAAATCATCTGATGCTAGAAAAATTATCCATTCAACCGCAGCTCATCTCTTAATAGTTGTACTCATTTCATTACTTACAGTCCATGATGGTTTTGTTTCCCGTTTAACTAACTCATTGCACGTTGATACTTGAGGACGAGTGTTCCAATACCAAGAACCATTCAACAGGTGCGTACAGTAGTGAGAAGGTGGGCCAGATCTTTGTGGTTTCAGTTTAAGGCGCTTTAGCTGACAGGATTATTGATGACAAGTCTTTAGGATATACATCTGTCACTTTTTAGAATTAAACGTCTTTAGTGTATGTTGACAGGTAGGGAAGTTTAATCAGGATGAAACCAACTAATGAACCTCCTCCACACCCTGAACCCCCTTTACATAAGAAAAAACGAAATCATATCAGAAGAATGATCAGATTTCATTACTTTGAAACGGTCCGAGGTTCTGTAGTGAGTTGTAAAGTTGGTTTGTGTTTATATGCTTCGAGTAGTCGGGAGGAGCTACTTCGTGTGGTACAATTGGTGACCCCCGACCTCTATGCTGAAGATACGCAACATATATACAGTTGTCATCACAGGAAGACAGTCAGCGGCCAGTGGGTTATGCCTCGGCCCAGGACTATTTGCAACTAACGGTCATTTGAGTTGATTTTCCGCATAATTTATTCCAAGATTACAGTTATTGTCATACATACCAGAATGGATATAAATATTAGGGAGTAGTAGCAATCAGTAATAAAAGTTAATTAGTTGTCCATTTTCATGTCAACACTGACATTTCTAAGTAGTGTTCTATCCCCGTTGTGTTTACAGTCAATTAAGGAATTGCCTTTTAGATGGCGGAGAATGTAGCCTACTAATTTCGTTTAGCATGTGTGGTCAGGTCAAAGTGGCCCACCTTTTAGTCATACTCCTGTTTTACCTCCTGACCACCCACACACACACACACACACACACTGTTGGGCTCACCAATGCCCCCGTCGCCACATTTATAACTGGCTTCTGCTACTTCATTTTTTTTATTTTTTTTTTAATATAATGTCCTTACATTTTATCGGTGTGAAAATTTTTAAAGTTTCGAAAAAAAAGAATCAAGTTTCTAAAAAAAAAAGAATCATCGCCAGCTTCAGTATAATGTTGCTGTAGTGAGTTATGTGTATGTGTCAGTATGATCTATACCACGAGACAGAGGCAGGTAAACTGGCCATATCTGCGGCTGTTTATGTTTACCATGAATATGCAGTAAACTTTTGCAAAGCTCACGTAACATCACTTATGGGTTAACTTCAGGAGGTGAAACATAAAAAAGTGAATGTAGAAATGATACATATCCTCTGCAGAGACATGGCAAATGCGCAAGTACTACATAGATCTTTAACTTTCGTATTAGACATCATTTCAGGAACAGCCCTAGGAAGTGACGTGGCAGTGGACAGGGAATGTTTACCAAGAAGGTCACGTCAGCAGTGAACAATAGGAGATATTTGATTAGATTCCGAGAGATAGGAAAAGGCCAAGAGTAAGGTTTAGTTACCAGAATAACAGATCAAATTAGTTAGTCTGGAGGTCTTCAGTGGACAGGAGAGGCTGAAGTTTGTGGGAGCATATGCAGGAGGGCTTCATGGAACAGTAAATGATATGTGTGTGTGTGTGTGTGTGTGTGTGTGTGTGTGTGTGTGTGTGTGTGTGTGTGTGTGTGTCCTCGCAGTGTGAAGAATGTAAAGTAGTGTAGGATTTCCAGGTGTGAGGAGTTGCTGTATACCTGCACGAACACAACAGCAGTAACACCGCACGAGATTCTTGGCTAACCAACTGATCCCTCATGGTACGTGGGGTCACCACACCGGGTCGTATGGAGTCTTCAGGAGCATACCAGGGCCGCCTCACCTGCTTGGGGACAGGTGTGGGTGTGGTGTAAGTGTTGGCGTCATGTGAGAGTTGTAAGTGTTGGTGTTATGTGAGTGTTTGATGTCATGTACGTTTTTGGTTATGTAAGTGTTGGTGTCATGCATGTCTTTGGTTGTGTAAGTATTGGTGTTGTTTCATGCATGCATACATGATATACTTGGTGCAGTGTGAGCCATAGTGTTTGTTTCTTGCAAACATCACGAGGTGTATGATGGAGTCACGTGTGCCTGCGGTGTGACATCTAGGCACAGTGTGGCGTGAATGTAGTTGTCAGAGGTACACGGTGTTGGCTAAGAGGTGGCATCAGAGCTAGTGTGGCACGGACAAAGGAGGGATGTGTTGAGTGCGTGGCGTGATGTAACGAGTCCTTGGGTGACGTGAAATAAAGTGGTGTAGAGGTGTGGTGTGATGTGGTGTAGAGGAATGCATGTGGGTGTTGTGTACGTGCTCAGGAGCAGCACCTTCATGGCCTGCTCTCCTGGTTCCCGTGTGTCCCCAGTTCCCTGCCCAGTGGGCGTTGGGCGGCTGTGCGCATTCAGGTGGTCTCCCTCATCTTGGAACACACACTTTTGGGTTATTTTATGTGGTGATGACATAATGCCTATGACTGGTGGGAGGTGTCTCCTATCCTTTTGTGAAAATACCACAAATCTGATGGTTTAGGAACTTCCAGCGCCGTGACGTATTTATTGTGATAGTCATATTTACTTCAGGTTTTCTTGTTTATCGTTTTATATAGCAATTCAGCTATCGTCAATGTTTGCCAAAGGAAACACTTCGTCTGCTGCAAAAATATGTCTGTTTCTGTATCGAATTTGTATCAGGTTTTCTTCACTTCATGATCACTTTTAATAGCATCTGTAGGTGCAAGTCGACGATGTATTGGTAAGATGAAGCATTGGCTTGTCTCTTTTATAAATATCTGTTTAGGAAGAGATAAGTCAACATAAAAGTTCTTAAGTCAGGTCTAAGTGCCGAAGGTTGCCCAGTTAACTTATGGTACAGCTGTTTAATATTATAAAGTACACGGCCTAGTCACAGGTTGATGCATGTTGCGTATTTTCATACTGTGCCTGTACTAATTCGTATTAAGTAGCGTGTTTCAAATTTCATTTAAAGAAAGGCAAACTACATACTAAAGAAGGATTCATTGTTACACACACACATTACTGTCGCTTTTATTTTCTCTTTTTACTATGATTAGTATTATAGTTTTCGACCTATTCAGATGTGTTACCAGCGTATTAAATATAGGTATCAGTCTTTTATGTTGTATAGCGCCTTTTAACAAAATAGGAATACAAATGACGATAGCTATTGTAACTAAATACTGTACTGGGTGTAAGGTATATTTTGATGACCATTTCAGTGTCAGATAAAGATTTTCCAGGGTTAGGTAAGGATTGCTCACGGTGTCATGGTTGCTTAGAATGTCCGACTTCAGATCCCGGTACTGTACTGTAATGAGTTGAACAAAGGCACACTGCCCTGACGCTCAGTGTTAGAACATTTAGTTTTGTCAGTTAATAAGGGCTTGGGAGTATGAGGTCAGTGGTCGAGCAGCCTTGTGTAGTGTTGCTTGGGTCACACCATTCACTTTGTGTTTCAGTCGTGCCATGGGAGGTGACACATGACGGCCACCTCGCGCATTCCCCAGCAAGTTAGTTTCATTGGAGATGTGGTGGGTTGGGATGGGGAAGGGACCCACTACCGCATGCCACAGCCACGTGTTACTGGCACTAGTACACCTGTGGGGCCACTGAGAGGGTGCCACCAGGCCTGGGGTGTATCATGCTCCTTCCAGTGGTGGTACCTAGGGCCTGGGGACCTACCTCAACACAAGCTCCCACACTATTATTAACCGAGTTATAATTGTTTGCCAACATTCTCTCAGAGTTGTTTACTCTAACAAACTGTTTTCCGGCAAACATTTGGTTTAACTGATACTTGTGAGGCTTGAGTGTAAAGTTTAGAGGGAGATGGTGTGAATGTTGGTGCTGGTGGTCCCTCACTATCAAGTACTATGTGAGTGCATTATGAGGGTCACGTCTGCAGTATTACGGGAACGTCAAGGTTTTGAAAGTAGTCAATACCCACTTGTGCTCACACCCCGACTTAGATTTTCTTCTCCTTCCCTCCCTCCATCTCTTCAGTAAAACAAACGCAGGTGTGATTATATGTTCTCCTACTTTGGTGTGACAGTCTCACAGCTTAGTGCTTTGGGAAACGTTCATGGCCATTTTAGCCACACCCCTGGTATGTGTTGGGAGTGAGAGGAGGGCAGTGTTTGGACCGCCCACCACTGTCTTGACGTGTGTCATGAGTCACGTGATCACTATACTGGTACATATATAAATGTGGTCATGCTGCCGCTGTGTTAGTTCAGTCGTTGCTTGCTTGTGGGGGAGGCAGGTGTGAGGTGGAGGTGCGTCCTGTAGCACTGCGTCAGTATTGCGGTCTCCTGTCGTAGCATCACACGGGCCTGGGAAATCATAACTCTGCTATATACGAAGGCTTTTCGTGATTATGTGACAAATTTTATTTATTATATTTTAAAAGTGAACTCAATTATAGAATGGAGTGATATTCAATGTCTAACTCACGCATGCAATCATTATGCAGATGCAATTTGAAAGAGTTTGTGGCTACATATCAACATGGTGATGGTTAACAAAATAGTAACATTTCTTAATCTGGGTTAACATATATTTGTATTGTGTTTGGTATGAGAGAGACTGTCAACATATGAGTGATAGTCGATGGAGTAAAAGCAAGAAGAAATCAATGAAAGGTGCAGAGTGTGACTAATATGGTGATGAGATGACCGGGTGGTTGTAGAAGTGGCGTGTGTGTGTGAAGGGGAAAGAGAGACTATTTTAGCCTATAAGTGAGTTTATGTGATTGTTATATCAAGGCCACTGATAATTCACTATATATATATCACCTACACAGGGGAGGGGGAGGTGAGAATGCAGCTGTTGTGTTCTTGGCTGAGCAGGCAAATGGCAGGTAAGGCGGGGAAGAGAAGGGGGGGGAGGGTTGCCAAGTGAAAGGGGCAGCAGAGAGAGGAAGGGATCATATAGGTGAAAGGGCAGTGAGTAGCGAGGGTAACTAGGTGAAGGGGCAAGTGGTGGTGGCGGTGCAGGAGAGGGGGGTGAAAGGGTTTCCAGGTGGAGAAGGTGGTTGAGGGCGAGAAGGAATGGGTAACATCTTGATGGAAAATTAACCAAAGCTTTAGGATAAATACATAATATGCATTAAATGCTATAGTTGATAATTACTGTGATAAATGATTTCAGTTTGTTTATGATAATCAGTGAATAGATATATGTATAGTGCGTGCGTGGTGTGTTATATTTGTATGGTGCATTAGTCTAATTTGGTCATGCCACTTTAATACGAGATGGTAACAGATAATTGCCCAGGGAAGAATGTGTGGAATGGGATCACCTGAAGAATCTCTACCCTCAGTTTATTTCACCTGAAGATTAACCACCCTAACACTAACCTAACCTTATCCCCCTAAATGGTCTTGTGGTAAATCTTTAGTTGAAATAAGCTGGGTTGGAGATTTGTTAGGAGTTCTGTGGTATGAAGACAGACAGCAATAAACTAGGCAACAAAGGAGAGAAAGAGAAGGATAACAAACAGTAATAAACTTGACAACAAAGGAGAGAAAGAGAAGGATAACAAACAGTAATAAACTTGACAACAAAGGAGAGAAAGAGAAGGATAACAAACAGTAATAAACTTGACAACAAAGGAGAGAAAGAAAAGGATAGAGAGAGAGCATTAATCTCAACAACAAAGGAAAAAGAGAGTATGGTGGAATGATGACGTAGTAACAGCAATAAAGGAAAATTAAGTTAGGTTAGGTTAAGTTAAGTGACGTGTCAACTTATACATAACGAGTCCTTTTTTGTTTTTCTTTGTCTGAGAGATAAACAATGTTAGAGGACAGGAAGCCCAGGGGGTGTGTCCCGAGAGAAGAGAGGGGTGGGGTAAGATGAGGGGCAGGGAAGGGAGCTGAGATGGGGGGAGGGCACAGTGTAAGAGTCACGTAGGCACCTCAAGTAAAAATACACCTGAAAGCAAGAAACGGGGATTATACAGAAGGGGCGCTGCTGCTGTTGTGACTTGGGGGGTTAGTGCAGCTTGTTCGTGGTGAGTGAGTGGATGTGGTGGTGAATGAGTGGTGGTGGTGAGTGAGTGATTGATGGTGGTAGCTAACGAATGATGTGGGACTGGTAAATATAGTGATAGTGACTGATGACAGGTAGTGGTTAATGGTGGCGACCTTTGGTGTAATGGTCAGCATGCTCGCCTGGCAAGCGAGCGGATCCGGGTTCGATCGCGGGCAGGGTGAAACTTGGGGCAAGTTTCTTTACGCCATTTGCCTCTGTCTACTTAGCAGTTATTGGGAACCTGGATGTTAATCGATTTGCGGATCGTGTTCCGGGATAATGGTTAGCCAGTGCAGTTGGCGAGTTGTCCGGTTCTCTCGGACGATTCATTGACACTGGGTCATGCAACTCGTTAACTTAGGGTGTGGTTGTTGTGTTGGCGACAGCTTCCACACCTTAAACAAATTCACGCCTAGATGGTCCTTGGGCCTGCCATCCTCGTTACACGAGGGGCAACCATTATTTATAATGGTGGTGATAATGAAGAACCGTTTCTCAGGATGTTAGTGGACTAAATTCTTGAGGATAACAAACGTTACGTGACGATGGTAGTGTTGTAACGAGGGCGGCAGGGTTACGATGAGTCTGTCGAGTTGATATATAGGGCGTGGCCAGTGGGGGAAGAATGAGTAATATAATAAACCTAGTGGATGTTCTTGGTGATGATAGTGTCGTGCTGGCGATTTTTTTTTTGTAGAGAAAGGAGGGGTGAAAGAAGATTAGAGGTGGGGGAAAGAAGTTATAGTTCGGAAATTGAAGAAATTTAGGAGGAGGTAAGAGAGGGCTTGCTGACCGCCTAGCTAAGCTATTAGTGTTAGGGTTGTGTCATGGGTTAGTTATTGTCTGTCGGTACAGACACTAGACATCCTACCCTGTCCCATATATGGGTGTTTTGAGGGCCTTATTTCATATTCTGCCGACCCTACTGGTGGATGCTGGTCTAGGGATGTTGTCTATTGCCTGGTGGCGATAATGTTGGGATGTGGGAGGCCTTGGGTAGGGGGGGGGGGGCGGTGCGCTGGCTGGGTGACGTGGCAGGCCGGGCGGGGTAGTGGTGCTGGGTGAACCTCTCCACCGTGTACCTGATTCTTGTCACGTTTCCTCCACACCTTAGGTGTGCTCTTCCTCTTGCTGCTGCTGCTCCCGCTGTTTTTACCGTCGCCTCCCGCCAGTCGTTGTTCATTGCTGCGGTTATTGCTGCTGCTGCACGTCTTGTTTCTGCAGCAATTATCTCACCACTGTCCCGCTGTTGTAGGTCTGCCATTCTTGTCTCAGGTGTTGCTGCGTTGGCTCTTGTTGCTACTACTACTACAATTCCTCTTGACACTTAAGAACATAAGAAAATAAGGAGTCTGCAATAGGCCGACTGACCTGTGCATGGCAGCTCCTGTCGAGAGTTACTACCACTCTCTATCATCCATGAATCTATCTAGCCTCCTTTCAAAACTTTCCAGCGTTCCAGCACTTACTATAAAGTTGCTAAGCCTGTTCCACTCGTCCACCACCCTATTTGTGAACCAGTTCCTTCCTATCTCCCTCCTAAACCTAAACTTATCCAACTTTAATCCGTTGCTCCGAGTCCTATTCTGCTCGGATATTATAAGAACTTTATCTATATCGCCTTTTTTGATTCCTTTCACCCACTTAAATACTTCTATCATATCTCCCCGCACTCTTCGTCTTTCTCGGGAATGCAAGTTTAGTTTCTTTAACCTATCTTGATATGTAAGGTTTCTAAGTCCCTGAATCATTTTCTTCATTCTTCGATGCACCGACTCCAGTGAATTGATATCCATTCTATAATAAGGGCACCAGAACTGAACCGCATAGTCGAGGTGCGGCCTGACTACCGCAAGATATAGTTGCAATAAGACCTCTGCACTCTTATTACTTACACTTCTAGATATAAAACCTAATACTCTGTTTGCCTTATTTCGAACATTGACGCACTGTTTTCGAGGCCGTAGGTCTCTTACACAAGTCGACTTCTCTAGGTTGATGTTGTTAAGGCTGTATACATTGACAGTATTTGTTCTTCCAATATTAAGTACGCTGCACTTGCTGGTGTTGAATTTCATTTGCCATTTTTCTGGCCACTCCTGCAGTTTATTTAAATCCTCCTGTAGTGCATTTGCATCCTGCCCTGAATTAATCTGCCGCCCTATTTTGGTGTCATCCGCAAACTTGCTTATGTCACTGCTGATCCCAGTATCTAGATCGTTTATGTAGATCATGAACAAGAGTGGGCCCAGTACTGACCCCTGGGGAACCCCACTGGTTACACAACCCCACTCATATTTAATAACATCTACGCTGACCCACTGTGTTCTATCGGTGAGCCATGATTTTATCCAATTTAAAACTTTCCCCTCGATACCATGAGCCTTAACTTTTCTCAGAAGCCTCTGATGCGGTACTCTGTCAAACGCTTTGCTAGAGTCTAAGTAAATAACATCGTAATTTTCGTCATTATCTACTACCTCGAAGACTTTCCTAAAAAACGACAGCAGATTTGATAGACAAGATTTTCCCTTTGTAAATCTATGTTGAGAGTCGTAGATTAATTTGCATTTCTCTAAATGCGCTCGGATGCTATTTGCTATAATTGATTCAAGAAATTTCCCCACTACTGACGTCAAACTAATCGGCCGGTAATTTGACGCTGATGCTCTGTCTCCCATTTTGAATATGGGTACTACATTTGCCTGTTTCCACAAGTCTGGCACAACTCCCGTGTCTAATGATTTTGTAAATAAATCTACGAGGGGTCCGCTAATCTGTTCCTTACACTCTTTCAAAACTCGAGGGAAAATTTCATCCGGCCCTGGGGATTTTGTCTTCTTTAATTTATTTATCTTCTTAAGAAGATCCTCTTTTCTGATAGTGATATTCTTTAATTTCTCTTCTTCATTTCCCCTAAATATCAGTTCCACTTGCTGCTGCTGCCTCTCTTGCTTGATTGCAGTGTCCAGGTTAGGGTGGTCAGTCGTGGCCCTAATATATACCTGTAGCATGAATTGTTAGTGTCGGCTTGGGGATAACTCTCTCGTTTTGTGTACTGGTTGTCACTGATGGTTGTGGTGTCGGTGATGGTTATTAATGTTGCCGTGGTGTTGAGGTGTGGTGGTTAAGATGTGGTGGTGGTGGTTAAGGTGTGGTGGTGAGGTGCGGGTTTGCGGGTGTTGTTTATATTGGGGTGTCAGGGAAGGGGTGAGTGTGGCAGGCGGGAGACGGAAAGGAATACTCTACTGCTTTATAGGGTGACGTATATGGGCCAACACGTGCTCTCTAATACGGTGGGTGTACTGGACTGGACTGGTAGCTGGGGGGGGGGGGGCACAAGTGTCTCCAAATGTAATGTAATTAATCTCGTTTAGTTCTAGTCTGTCCAGTTGTTTTGAGGGTAAAGTAAGAAATACAAGTAAAGTAAGAATTTATAGTTGTAGGATTGTAAAGTGAGGAAGTTTGGTAGCGTGGCCGATTAGTTATTTAACCGTTACTGTGTTCTTAGAGGAAAGTCTCTAGACACCACTTCTAAGCACAGCAATTCATTAGTTAAATCAATGGCATGGACACATTAATAGATCATTGTATTTACGTTACTGGACAATGACTCCCGGACACAAACACGGAATGGATACACTTTCCTCCGTAACTCACCCTATGGATCGCTCTGACAATGACTCACGTGTGACCTGAGGGAGGCTCAGCGACTGGGGAAGCTGTCTGCAGGTGCTGCTGAAGAGAGTGATCCCGGCGGGTGCTGGACTCTGTCTCCTGTGGGAGACTCTGCTAGCTGGGGACTCGGTGCTGGGGAGGGAAGTCCCCCTCCCGACCTTGACTTGTGACGAGTGTGACTCCGTCTGCTTGAGTTCTGACTCTCCCTGTGTGTCCCTGGGAAGGAACTGTCGGCCCCTTATATTGGCTGTAAACTATGGTCTGAAAAAACAATCATTACACAGTGTTCGCCTTAACTGACCTAACTGATTGATGTTTTTCGCTTACGAGGGCAGTAAATAGCTCACTCAAGATGTACGTCACACAGTTATAACTCATGGACGGTAACATTTCATTTAAAAGATGTTAAGATGTAGATGAACTGTACTACCCTCACTTGATTGGTCCAGTGGTTGAAGGTGGGCGGAGTCGTCATTGACTCGGTTACGCATTTTGAGAAATTTGATTCTCCAGCTCATTGTGTTAAGCTGGGATGGTGGCGAAGATGGAGGATGGTGAGGCTGATTATTAAGCTGGTGATGATGCTGATTGTAGTGGAATGTTGATTGTGATGATGGGGATTATTTTGGTAGTGATGATGCTGGTGATTGTGGCGGTGGTAATGATGGTGATAGGTGGTGGCGATGATGGGCATTGTGGTGGAGGTATTGATGTTGATAGGTGGTGGTGGTAATGATAGTGATTGTGGTGGTGGTGATGATGGTGATTGTGGTGGTGGTAATGATGTTGATAGGTGGTGGTGATGATAGTGATTGTGATGTTGGTAGTGGAAGACTGGGTGGGATGGACGAGGGACAAGTTGTGGGGAAGCTCAGGCCACAAACAAGGCACTGTGCCAACTGCAAGAGGGGGGGTGACAGGGGAGAATGGTCGGCAGGGAAAGGTGGGAGATGGGGAGGGAGGTTGGATAGGAAGTGGTGAGGGAGAGCAGGGAATTTAATGTGGGAGTGGTGGGGGAATTAAGTGTGGGAGGTAGTTTGAATTTGAAATAGCCAGTGAGGAGAGAGAGAGAGAGTGTCAGAGGGGTTGGGCAAGGAGTGAGGGGTTGAGGGAGGGAAATTTGAAAAGAAATCGTACCATTCATTTTCGCTGCCATTACATACAACATTCAACTAGCGCGGGGTTGCGAGTAATGTCCTGACTGTACTGTAGGTCATCACTTCTGGGCACACACTTATCCATCGCGCCACACGTTACATCAGCGTCTAGGTGCGTATGTTTTGGTGATGGTCGCCAGGCGGGCGTCATTGACGTCACGCCTCTATATGTGGATATATGTGCAGCCTAGTTGCTACACCCAGACCACCTGTGTGGGAGTGGGCCTTGGGAACCTTTGTGTAATATATGTAAAATAGGTGTAGGTGTTGGGATGTAGGAGGTAAGTGTAGGAGTGTATTATGGCTTTGTTGGTTCGTGGCGATGTACTGTAGATGGAGAAAGATGTAGGAATGATAGCAACATCGGATATAAGTGTAGATGAGTTGATTTAAAGGAAGATGACGTCGTAAGATTTAAGGGGGGAACCTACATGCCTAGGTGAGACCGATACTGATAGCAGGGGAATGGCCGGGTTTTCCCGCCACCACCAGGATTTTGAGACTACGAAGTCTCGCCCTCTCTTGTCAACAGGACCAAAACAGCCTCACATTCTTCAAGACTATGCTGACAATATCCTGCAAATACGTTGTTTATGACTAAGTTTATAAACACATATCACTGCTCATCACCTGCTCGGAGCACAATCTAACAAGAGATACTGTACAATATTTAGCTAAATGAGCTTGTGGAGTGTTCTGGCGTGCAGTTTGTTCCCTGTAGCACGCATGATACTAATTACTTGTATATATGTGCTTCAACGACTGAAGTTCTTAAGCAGGTTCTCTGAGTTGGTTCATACTCAAGACGACAATTATTTAAAAAAATACGGAAGTAGTTCTTCCGTAACAAGAACGATGCAGCATGAGACCTCTGGCCTCAGTGAACTATCACGCTGCCGAGGCAGGATAGATTTCTTTACTCAGGCTCGCGCCACATTTTAAAAGCAGTGTGTACCTTGGTCTTGATCCTTCCCAGGCCTAGGCCCATGTTTAAACATAAAGTGTCATGTTAATAAGTGGATGTTATTGTAAAAGTTATTCCTAGCTTTAAAAGTGTCTTCTTGATTATTCATCTAAATTTAAAAAGTGACGTCGCAAATACCTGTCCTTGAAATATGAATATATTCCTTGTTGTTAAACTGCAGTTGTGTCTTAACTCTCCTGGGACAGTGGCTGTTACAGCTACCACCACCATCACTGCCAGTCTGCCACCAACCACCATCACTGCCAGTCTGCCACCAACCACCGTGACCTTGACCATGGTAGTCAGTCAAATCTGGGTCTTGGCCTCCGTAGACTGATAGTCTCCCCCCCCTCCCCTTCTCACTGCCTCCACCACTATTGCTACCACAATTATAACCACCACGTCTATTTGTAACAACCATCACATACTAGTACCCAACATAACCTCATCACTTCACCATTACCACTTTCAGTAAAGTCATCATCATCATCACTTATTTAAGGTGATAATGTGTTATGGTGAATGGTAGGTGATGGTGGTGGTTGGTTAATGGTGTTCGGAGGCTAGATTTTGTGTTTGACGATAGTCCGGGTGATGGTAGGTAATGGTGAATGTTGGCTGGCTTTTGGAGGATGGTGATGATTAATGGCGGATGGTGATGATTAAATGGGTGGCTGGTGGTTGGCAGTGGTTACTAGTGGTGTGTGGGTGGTTGTGGTGACTTGTAGGTAGGGTAGAGTTGGGTGTTAGTACATACTGGTAGGTGTAGTTGTGGTTGGCATCAGAGAGCATGTGGAGGTGAGGGAGTTGACACCATTTGGGCGCCATCCGTCGCTTGGCTGACTCGTGTAGCGCCCTTAGCAACCGTTATCTCCTGCGACTGATCACTAGCGCCCTTAGCAACCGTTATCTCCTGCGACTGATCACTAGCGCCCTTAGCAGCAGGTCGTTTGTTGATCTCTCCAGATTCCAGAATGATGTCCCTGAACTGCACTTAACTCAATATGGAATCCTGTGTATATTGCCAGTGAATAGACAGTATTTTCCATTATATATATAGGTATATATATATATATATATATATATATATATAATTACTTGATTAACCAGTTCTTAAAGGAATCATTTGAAGTGATTTAATAAAATAAGTTAAAGCATTTATTATTATTATTATTAGATTATGGACGAAAATCAGTCTTGGATCAGATGAATGGTTTGTAAGGCAGACTTTTATAATGAATCTTAAGGTATATATCCATCCGAAAGTCAACTTCATTAGGGTGTGTGATGTGTTGTGACTGACTGATGTGGAAATTTTAACAGCAAGACAAATGTTAAAGCTTTTGGGTTGTATGTGTTAGTTGGCTGTGTTATAGCACACACACGCACACACTTGTTATCAAGTGTTTGATGGGTTGTGTGATGTAGTATTCTCTCGTTTCTTACCATGAACTTATATTACTGTTTACACGTACTCCGCCTCTCACTGTGCCTCCTCCTTCCATTGAAACACAAAAGGTCTCCAGGTCTCGTGTGTCGTGATAAACAGATGCTCCGTTCCAACTAACTCATTGCGTTCACCATTATCAACCTACAAATGATGCTGAAAAATTATATGAAAAGAACAATCTCTTTATTTCCTGTCGCGTTACGCTGAAGTACTCGAAAAGTGATTATTACTGTAGTTGACGAGGTGAGGTTCATACATTTCACCAGTCAAGGATCATCATGGTGAGCGTGGTGGGTAGCCTGCTGTCACACACGCTGTGGCGGGTGGTGGGCGGTGATCCACACCATCCAGGAGGACGGCAACTTGCCGCCAGCCACACCACTTTCCCCCGTTCCTGTGACAATAACGTGAGCAGCCACACCGAGGGAAAGACATCACGCTGTGTGTCTGACGGTGGATGTGACACACAATATGGGCATGGGGCGATTGAAGACAACCAAAGCCGAGAATACCGTCGTGTCTCTCCTGACAGTCATGTGGAGACAAGTGACTTCAGCAATGGGTGGGTAGTGCTCGACACGCCCTCCTCTTCGGCACTGATCTCACCTAAACTACCCTCATCATTCTCAAAGTCGGCATCATGGAGTGCCAAGACTTGTACAGTTAGTTTTCCTGTAGGTTCTTCGTCTGAAGCACCACCAATCGCCCTTGACTGGTGGGAAAGCTGCCTAGCGCCACTGAATTCCAATCCCATTCCTGGTCGAACCTGTGTAGAACCACCTCTCGCGTCCATCTGTGCCTCCACTTGTCAGGGCAGTACCTATCCTGGGCAAGTTCAGCACTACACCAGTCTGGAGGCACCCAGTGAACCTAACCATCCTGAGACTAACCAGTTGATGACTTTCCCGAAGTTAGGTGACGAGTTGACCAAGCCAGTGGTTGGTAAGTTACGCACAAGTCTTCAAGTGGACCAGGAACTGACCTCTCGGGATAAACTGGAGTTAAGTTGTCAACAAATAGGCCAAAAATTTTCAAGCCATCAGTTGAACCAGATGATTAACACCAACTTGGTTCAGGATGAAGTCTCATCGAATATCGAGGAGATAAATAGCCCAGATATACATGGGGTGGTGTGTCCTGACTTACCGAGAAGAGTTCCTGGCAGGTCCCGCAGGTCGTTGAAGAGGTCGAAGGAGATAGCGACTCTTGGCAGCTCGGATAGCAGCACTGGCAGATGGCGGTGGCAACGTCAGTGTGTTCGCCGCTCCCGATCCGAGGACACCTCGTCTGTACTGCTTCATCGTGGTGTGGTCTCTCACGCTGAGGACACTATGAACTCCTCCACACTGTCTAACTCTCCTGACGTCATTGCTACAGCTCCGCCCTTAACCCCTGATGACAGTCCAGAATCCCTCGTTGACTGTGTTAGTGCTAGTTCGGAGGGTGGGCGCTTGAGACATAGTGTGGGTTGCAGAGAAGATATCCGAGACTTTGATATATACAAGATTACTCAGCCTGTTGGGCAGGGACAGTACTCGCGCCTGCCATCCCTCGCTACGCAGTCTGACTCTGACACTGACGAAGGAGCGGGTGTACACGAAGGCCTCAGAAAAAGGAAACGAAGGAACCCCGAGGCGCGAGACGCTGGGGAAAGAAAAAGATACAGAGAAGAGGAAGATGAGGAAGATGCGATGATGGCGTTGGAAGCCACCACACTACTTCTTCCTTCTCCATTACAACTTCAAGAGAGGTTAAACGCGACAGCGACAAAACCAACCGACACCGTTCCACGGTCCTCCTCCTCCTCCTCCAGAAGTGGGAATACCCCCCTTCCCTCCCCCATCACCACCACCATTACTCCCTCCACCTCACCTGGGAAAGATAAGGAGGAGGAGGACCTGGTTAGTGACGACACGATGAGTGACGAAGATGACGATGACGAAGCGTCTACGGTCGTCCCTGAGGACTTTGGCAACGAGACGGACTCCGATATCGAGGTCTTGATCCAGTCTGGTAAGTGCAATTGTCTGTCAGTTCTGGAGGGGAATAGAGATCATGCCTGGCCTCAGACATTCTCATAAAGGACGTGGGGAGGCATCTAACTGGCTTACTCACACTGCGACAAAATAGTTCGGTTTCTCAAAGATTCATGGTGTTAATTTTGTCTTTCAACTCGTCATAGCAGAATGTATCAAGTTTCAGTGTTGGAGTAATATAGGTGTCTTTCTGGGCGTTACCTCAATGCTTTACGTTCAGTCATCCAGTTCGATGCATTCTTACATCACCAGTTAGGAGTTTTAAGAGAATATGGGATCAGAAAATGCTTTGAATTTCCTCTGACAACTCTACCACAACTACATGTGTCCTAACATCCTTAGTTGCTGGTAAAAAAGCACGAACGAATCTTTGAAAATCCAGGCATAGGAAACTGAAGGTTGTCACTAGGAACATGTGTGAAGTAAGGTAAGGGACCGAGATTTTCTAATACCAGAAGATAATGTAAACATACAGAGTAGATTTAGATGAAAATATAAATAAAATGGAGGAACATATTTTAATAATTATAATTGCTTAGAATCGTGACTTGGGAAAATTAACTTTAATGCAGATAAATGAGACGAAGAAAAATTGTCTTCAAGTGTAGAGAACTGAGGAGTCATTAAAAGGAGGGTGATCCAAACATAGGTGAGGGTTTTCCCACTTTCGATAAGTACCAATTCCCGGGTTGTACAGTAGGTGTATAATTAAAAACTGGCACACGTAACATCGTCAGTGCCCTACTATCATGGTGAACAAACTTGAGTTATCGGCTCTGTCATGTCACACTATTATATATATATATATATATATATATATATATATATATATATATATATATATATATATATATATATATATATATATATATATATATATATATATATATATATATATATATATATATATATGGTGTATGAAGTTGTTAACCCCGTGTAACAGCCTCCGTGCCGTGCTGTCGTGAAATGATAATACATGACGTATCACCCATTATCTTGTTTGCATGTTGGTGTACAGTGTGTACACCAATCTACAAGTTGCAGTGTTACAAACAGCACGACTCACAAGCAGCTTGCCAATGTTAACATCAGCGTGGCAGTGCAACCTGCATTATGACAGTAATGATAGTAATCAACTGGCAGTTTCATCTGCAGCGTAAAACTGCAGGGTTGCCAATTAGGACGTGAGGTACTTCACAGTTCAACAGTGACTCACGTCTCTACACGTTGTCATCGTACACGTGAAAATATGTCCTCGCCAGGTTATATTTACACAACGCCGTAATTACTATAATGTACAGATTTATTATACCTATTGATATGACAGTGACAGATGGTAACTCATAAAGCCAAGTGAAAATAAACATGCTTGGTGCACACCTGGCGCCAGCCTTACACCAATGCACCAAGTATCTTGTAACGACAGGTATGATATTTTTTCCAAGGATGAAGACAGACTTATTAAAGTTATTTAACTTAACAAACTCGTATGTTTAGACGACGTTTGTTTGCGGAAGTTTTACTGATGATTCATATAGCATTAATTGACAACTGGTATCTTTATATAATAGCAACTCAATTAAATAACTTTCCACCCATTAATATTATTTACTCTAACACCAGTGGACTGTGCTGGAGCTGTTCCATCCTCCTGGGAATATTCACACCGCTGAGCATTGGGTCTTTGTTTTGTTTACAGGACTTCGGTCACTTGTTTTTCTCATTAAATTCCGCACTGGGAGTAGGTTGAAGCGAGCTGTATGCGGCATGTGTAGCCTCTGTTTTGAACGTTGATTTTATTCTTTGTTTTATATAGGACTGGTGTTTTTCCTTTGTTTTACCTTTGATGCTGAGGCACGGAGATAGGTAGCGGGGGGATAGAAGGATGGGGCACGCCGGAGGACGCTTATATAATACTAAAAAATATGGTCCATCATATGATTTCAAATACTTGTTCCTGTTATCTTATTGCTAAGCATGATTAGTGTAAACGTTGAAACTCTTATAAGAATAAAGATACAGGGTGTCGTATCTCGTTTATAAACAAAAGGAAGCCTTGAGAGCGATGTGGCAACAGTGGATCATAACGCTTCTCTTGGTGACGTCATAGATGTAAACATATCCACGTGTTCGTTTGTTTCTTTTTTAAATAATTGGTTACATGTGAGAATTTCCGTTTCATCTGAAAAATCAATATTAATTAAATGTTGGATAACATGCATTGTCATAATATTCTAAGCATTGAATCTATAATCTCAATGGCAAAAGGTTTTGTTGTGTTTTTAGGAGTGAATCGAAACAATATTGGTGACGGCACCTTGGAGGCTGCGCACCAGTGCGGTGAAGCGGAATATTATAACAACCGGGGTTCACGCAGACCCCCCCCCCTGCGTCCCATCAGTTGTTGTATACTTCTTTGTTATCACGGAATAGTATAACTTTTAGATGTGTACAGTATTGTTGTACGCGAGACGTGGATGTTCATTACCAACGAATTTGACTAAAAATGATATAGATTTTACGTTTATTTGTGTTTCAAGTTGAAGATGCAATTTGGTGAATGAAAGTATGCAAATGATATACCAACTCCCCGAAGAGGCTACTCAAACTGCAGGGCTCCCCGCCGTTCTGCGAGTTATAAAAATGTGTGTGAGCGACTTTGTAAACACGGTATCTCGAACAAATTGCAATGGATAATAACCAAACTTGCTGTGTACGCGTAACACAATAAGATCTTAAGTTTGATAATTCCATATTACTGTTGAAAGTAATAGCCTCTTGGACTTTGTTGTGACCCGGGGGCTTTGTCTCCTCTACAGACAAGCACATAAATTTTGTGTGTAAATATGTTTGGTCGTAACTACTATTAGTGAGCATAAAAAGGCCGAAAAGTTTAGTGGAATCAGGAGAGATGTTAAGCTGTGTGAATCGTTTTATTTATAGTGATACTGTGTATGACCACTCCTACCATTCCACATGCCCACAGCCTCTCCTGTTTCCACCTTCCCTTCCACACCCAGTCCTTCGCCAACATTATTTTTAATACAGTATTACTTTCTGTCACCGCTAACTCAAAGCGTTGTCTCATTCCATTAGCTAACTTCACCAATCGCATCCACCCCATCACCCATCTCCACCACACAATCAACCATCCCCACCCTACAGCCTACCCATCCCTTGCCTATCCCACCACCCATCCCTGCAATCACTTCACCCATCCCCATTGCCCTACAACCTCATCCTATCACCTATACCCACAACTTAACCATCCCCACCCTACCACCCACAACTTACCCCTCTCCACCACCCCCACAAGGGAACGTGGGGTTTGCTGCACAGGTTTAACTCTGGCTCCCAACAGCCATTCGTACCATAGGTTCCCGCCGTGTACCCTGGTGGAGGTATTTATACCATAAGCATTGTGTTCGCCTCGTGCACCTCCTTCCTCTTCCACACACAGAACGACGCAATGTCTGATGTACCGAAGCTAATGACTGTTCAAATTCAAAGGATGTCATGGCCATTTTTCATTTACCTACTTCAAATATTGTCTTAACTGTATTTCACTACACATGTCTGGTTACATTTCAAACGCTTGAAATATCTAATTATTTTTTACTTTAATGTCAGACTGTTTTTCACCACATATCAAAGAATGTCTCACTATTTTCTACTTACCAGAAAGTAAAAGAAAATATCTCTGATCATATTAATTCTCTCTGGTGTTTTATCTGTGAAGGTATTTTTATTAACTGGGTTTTATGACGATGGGATTAAAGGAAATTCTATCTCAAATTTCTTATGACATTTAATATTGCTGCGATCAAGTGGCTACAACACACAGTCGAGTGCAATATCGGCCATGCTGCCCCCTTGTGTACCGAAGGCTTAGTATAGTTAACAGTGTGCTGTGTTCACTCTGTCCTTAACGGGCAGTCGTGCTTATGGGACCCACTCTCACCATCGAGAACAAGCAAAAACAAAGTTGGTCGAGAATTGGCCATTGGTTGCATTTTGCCGCTCCTGAAAGACATCCCTTGCTCTCGAAAAACAAGTCAGGTTAAGAATTTCGAGCATTGGGTAGATCAACACGGCCCAGACTTGTTTGTTTGGCGTCATGTGGTGCTGGTGGCCAGAGAGGGTGATCATTCATATGTTCACTCCTACATTGTCGTCACCTCTACATTCTTCTCTCATGCGTGACTTTAGGTTTAACGCTCGGCTGTCGTAGCACCTGGCCCATACCTGGCCTTGAAGCTTGTTTACACCTGTGGCTTGACCTTGTTCAAACCTTTTTTCACCCATGACTTGAAGTTATATGACAACACATATGTTTGAAGTAGGTGAGGCAGGTGGTCAGCGGTGACTCACCAAAGTGCCTTCACCTGCCTTTATCTCACTCAGACCCGACTTCATAGCCAAGCATTATCTAATCAATTTTGTATATCTAACCCATCAAGCACACCATCAGAGCATGTATAAAACCTGACTTTGTGACCAGGGCTAAGTTAGGTTAGCTTAGCGTCAAGGTAGTTAATCGTAAAGTGAAATATGCAGGGTATTAATGTTCAGGTGATCCCATTTTATAATTACTATTACGTTTTGGTGTCCGAAGGTTGCAGGTCGAGTTCGTAGTTTTTAGTTAGGTGTGAGTTGGGACTCTTTTGGTGCAAAGGAGATATTATTTGATATCTTTACCCCAGTAAAAAGTTCAACAACACGTAAACAACAGTATGCAAGGTTGTGGTGTCCTTGAGGTAAACTGTGTGAGTAGGTAGGTGGGCAGGTAACAGGTTCAAGATTGTTAATGTAGATGTCAGCTGAAATTTAAGACTGATTTTTTTATATTATAAAGAATTTATATAGTATATAAATGGTGATGACTTTATTAAACTACTAGACTTGTCATGCATTATTGTTGTTTGTGCGTACGTGACACGGACGGCCAATCTGGAATGTATCGTATATAAATTGTTC